GTATTAGAACATCTGGAAGCTATCAGCTGGAGAAAGCTGATTTACTTTGATTAGCAACAACATACTTGGTCTAAAGCAGGTGATTTTCACAGCACCCGTTTTCAGGAGATCCTAAAAATAAAACCTGGGATTTTCTGCATGCAAAATAGATTGTTCTATGGTATCATCAGTAATTGGCTTGGTACCAATTTGGGTCTTTCAGAAGGATTGACACATTGAATTTGGACTGGCTCACTAATGCTTAGCTGTGTGTATCTGGTGATTAGGCAAGAACACACTTTTCTATGTGAATTCACAATAAGGAAGGCAGAAGATCAAAATGAGACATTTAATTAAATGTGGGTTTCAGTGAGGAATATCATTGGAAAAACAATGTACCATACTTCTGCATGAAATAAAACAGTGTTGAAAAACCCAGTTCTGCCAGCTAAACATTCTCCAACAATCATTTTTAGATTACACATCTTTCATTTCCTTAATGCAACTTGCTCTAAAATAAATGAATATTTCTTTTACTCTAATACTAATACTACCTTTCATTCCTACTTTTTGACATACAGTACATATGGGTTTTCTGTAAAATTGTGCTCCTTTTCATAATATATATTGTGCAATGTTTGGATTTGATTTCCAAAAGATTTTCCAGAATGCAATCACACTCTTCCAAGAAAAGACACACTTGTCTTAAAATGTTGCTGATCAATGCTCTCTCTATTTGCACTCCTGAAAATCTGAAATAACTTTTGGGGATCAAATTTTAAGTGCTGTACAATCTTAATAAACGAGAAGATGGTTCACACACCCTGGTTAAAGGTAACTATATACTAGATAATACTATTATCTATATTAGTAATTAATATAAATTACTTACAACTTAATTACTACTTAATAATGTATTTATGCTTACTACTTCATACATATTGCTTACCCATGGTTTAACCATGTTTTATTGAATAAACCATAGTTTGTTTCATCATGTAATGTATTAAGACATAAAGAGTTTAGAAACAAAATAGGTATGCCAAAATCAAACATAGTTTCACACTATGTATGGCTTGGCTGTTTTTGACTTTGCACGATGGGTGGACTCTGTTCTTGAAAATTAGAAGTGGTCTTAAAAAATTCTATTTACTCTTAAAACAATCATTTTCCCACAGTGAATATATTTTTCCACATTCCTTCTGGCTGGTCAGAAGTGATGTACAGGAGTTTAGTCATAACACAGCACTACAGGATTAATAAGAAAAGCATATGGAAAGATTATTTGCCTCTAAAAGAAATGAAGTAACAGTAGAATCATAGGGCTAGAAGGGACCTTGGTGGTCTTCCAGTCCAACACACTGCTCAAGACAGGAGATCCTATACCATCCCAGTCAAATGGCTGCCCAGTCTATTCTTGAAAATCTCCAATAATGGAACACTTACAATCCCAGGAGACATAGCTATTCCACTGAATTATTGCTCTCACTGTCAGGAAATTTCTCCTTACTTCTAGATCAGTGGTTCTCAACCTTTTTAATGTTGCAACCCCCAACCGGTCGTAAGTCGAGGACTACTCAACCGGTCGTAAGTCGAGGACTACTCAATTGGTGCAGCACCATTTGCAGAATGGGACTTTTGGTGGGCTCAGCAGGGCAGAGACAGCCTGGACAATTCCTATTGGTTTTTGAAAGCCAATAGAATTAGACTCTATTCAAGAGACTCTATTCTATTGGCTTTCAAAAGCCAATAGAATAAAAGGGAGTAGCACAGCTAAGGAAAAGGGGGGAAAAAATGGCAGACTGCGTTGTTTGGCGACCCCCGTGAAATGGTCGTTCGACCCCAAATGGGGTCCCGACCCACAGGTTGAGAACCACTGTTCTAGATTGTATCTCTCTTTGACAAGCTTCCACCTATTACTTCTTGTCCTGCTTTCTGTGTCCTAGAGAATAAGAAAATAACCGTTTGAGTTATGGGCTTCTTCTAAAGGCACGACAGAATGGATGCGCCCCAGTTTCTTCCTTGAGACCATGTCATCTGAAGGGATTTAGGAGGATCTCTTTTCTGCTATGGTACCTGCCTTATGGAACAATCTCTTCCACCGTCTGTTCAAGATTTGAGTGTCCCCAATTCTGTTTGTCTTCTCTGAAGACTGGCCGCTTCCTCAGTTGTTGAAATGTTAGATGAGTCTATCTTAGGTGGTGAAATACATGTTGGTGTGCTCCAACTGTGAATTTGTTGTCTTTATTGATTTTCGGTTCTTCTGTTCAAGGGACACTAATCTCATTTTTATTATTGTATGCTGTATACCAGGAGTCACATTTTTTGCAAGTGCGATACCTCTCTGATTTCTTTAACAAATGTATTCCTAACCACAGTTAATAGATTAAGAATGTAACAGCTAAAGCAAATCACACTCTGTCAAGATACCATGTTTTACCTACCATGGTTGCTCCTCTTAAAAATAAAGTAGGTCCTCAACCATTTTCAGAAGGAATTGAAACAATAATCCTTATCATTCAGCAGTGCAAGTTGCAAGATAAAGCAAGAATGCACTCACTTGATTAGCCTAAACCACAGGGCAGTTAATTCTAACACGGTTCCCAGAAGAATTGCATTTTGCTGAGCTTTGGTGTTTGGGGATTAAGGAAACTACAGTACAATCATGATGAACAGTTTCATTTTACAGTGTAGTTGTTTATTTGAGTCATGCCGAAAGGCAGGCAAACTCTCTCTTGAGTTAAACGTGACTCCTGATGACTTCATGCATATCTTCATAGCAACAATTTGGAACTGGTTTGCCATTGCTTTTTTCTGGTTTTTTTTTTTTAAACTTCCTATTCTAACCTATAGCTTTGGGATTTCCGAGGTAATCTGCCATCTAAGTACTATGCAGATTTGGCTCAGTTTAGATGCCAGAGGCTAGAGGAGATGCAAAACTCCAAAACAGCTATCTCCTTCCCAAGAAAAAAGAACCAACTGTTAAAGGAAGCAAGTGAGGAACACATTTTAAAAATTTAGAACAAGCTCCTGCAGCAAAACATTGCACTTCAATTCCACCCTTAAGAGTACCAGTCCTATTTGTGTTTCCTTCTCTTCTGCATAATATAGTGCTAAAAAGTCCCAAATAAATTTAGCATTTATTCATACCAAGAGATTATACTGAATTAGCATCAATATATCATGAATTATAGTGAAATTGTTTTTCGGTAATTTTGGAACACAATATCTTGGTGTCTTAGATAGAAATCTTCATTCCCATATTGAAGCAATCAGTATATCTCTAACTGGCTCCATCCATCCATCCATTCACCCACACACCTACCTACCCACCTACCTACCTGATTCAATTATGTCAAGTTCTATTTGGCTTTAACCATGATTTGTTAAAGTAGCAACAACTGGCTAATTAGAAATTCATGTTGACTAGTTCACAGTTACCCATCGAAGCACATTAAGAATTAGTGTACTATGAGAGTGTACCAGTCCATTCACTGACACCTTCACTCCTTCATAAGTGCAGGGTTAGAATTTGTAGCCTAAAGCTAGCACCTCTGTTAGTTCGCTTATGTTTCAAGCTTGTTTTGTGTCAACCTCGTTTCACCAAGAAATATATATCATCACAAGGGAAAAGTGCTTATGAAGTGGGACAAGCGAAATACCTAAGTGAAAAATGCATGCACAGGAATCTTTGTCTAGAAGCCGGATAGGCATTGCCCTGTGTTGTAACGTGGGTCATTTGGTTTGTCTGAATGATGTCACTGAGAATCCAAAACTTCATTTATGATTTTGTTTCACAGCAGCATTAAAAAGGACCTCCTTATCATAGGAACTTCATTTAGAAACGTAATATTGATTTTGCCAAAGAAGGAAAAATGGGTGCTTTTTTGTGTCTTCTTGGGTTAAAAATCTAAAACCGGATAAGTTATAAAAGGATTGTGAAAATAGATGCTCATATCTCACTGACTTAAAGCAGTCAAAGAATTCCAAGGTAACAGATATTCCTTCACTTTAGTCATCAGAACAAAGGACACCCTTAGGAGGAAGGTATCTCTGAAAAAGGAAAGGCATTATAGGAATACAGTTGAAACACAACCAACAGAAGTTTAGGGGGAAAAACTATCCAAAACGAGTAAACATTCTTATTAGGTTCATGTCAATATTGTCTTTGAGAAGCAGCTGAAGAAATATTACAGCTCATGAGCATCACTCCCATACAAATAGGCCCGTTTTGACCATCTTAATTACCATCATTAATTTAGCCAGTTATTCCATTAACCCAATTTTCTGAGTTCACCCGACATACCCACCATTAAGCACAGGGGCTGAATTCACACAACATGCTAGGTGAAAATGTGGTTGAATAGGTTATATCAGTGGTTCTCAAGCTTTTCTTCACCGTGGACCCCTTTTAAATACTTTTTGTGGCACGGACCATGTCCGCGGACATTTCTTCAAGCCTTCACGGATCCCCTGTGATGACATTCCCCCCCCCCCCAAGGGACCGCAGACCACAGGTTGAGAACCACTGGCTTATATTCATCTACTTCTAATCTACTTCAGACATGCCAGAGTAGGCACACAGATGTGGCTGTTGCAATTTCCCATGATGCCACATTCCTGTCCATGCAGAGGTATTAGAAACCTAACGCCCTGCTCCTGTGCCAAATCTTGTTGCTTCCCTTCCTGCCAGTGGAATCTTTTCAAGCGCAGGCATACATTAAGCTTTGCACCACCAGATAAGCCCAGCAAGGAGCAACTCATTCAAGAACTGAAGCTACATGATCTCATTACATTTGCCCCCTGCAGCTAATGTGGACTGCAGAGAACTTCATCAGAAGTTGCAAGTCCACTCCTCCCCCCCCCACATATAAGGGATACAGGTAAGAGGAGGGGCCACCATTCTTCCTTATCGTGCTGCGGGAAAGAGGCCAAGAGTCCCAGTGACCCATACTGCCCTAGAGGAGGCAAGGTGACTTCCCACCCGGCCTCAGGCCATGTCCTACCTCCATTACTCTTACCTTGCTCACAATATTCTGCTGTAGGCCTGCAGGGATCCGATGGTACCTCTCACTGCAGTGGCAGTAACTGTCATTCTTTCCCTCAGGAGTGGGCAGTTCCGGGGCTGCCAGGATCCCCCGGCTATAGCTGTTGCCGCTGTGGTTGTAGCTGGGGCTGGTGGTGAGGCCCCTGGGAGGCGGCGGGGGGAACTCGGTCCAGTTGCTCTGCCCATCCGTCCCCTTGCACCAAGAGATGGGCTGGACCAAGAGGAAACTGTCCGAGAACTGGCTGAAGCCGATGAAGAGCGCGGGGATCCAGGTGAGGAGGATAAGGGTTTTCTGGTGCCCGCTGCCCAGGCCCCCCAGGAAGGGCAGCACGGAGCCATCGTAATCCAGAAGCAGGGGGCTGCAGGATCCGGAGGGGGGCGTGGGAAGAGGCAGGCTCTGAATCTCCGCCGAGAGACCCCCTGCAGGGGGTGCGGCCGGAGCTGCAATGGCCGGATCCGCCTCCCCGGCAGGCAAAGAGCCGTTTTCCTCGGGGAGGGGCCGGCTCCCCCCGGCACCCTCCTCTCGACGCCGGTCAATCGCCATCCGGCAAGAGGAGGAGAAAAGGCAAGCCCAGCGGCTCACATAGAGGGGAGCTGAGGAGGCGGCGCCCGGGGCAAGATCCGCGGTTTCGTAAGCCGGCGGGGCTGATGGACGGAAGCCTCGCTTGCGGGAGTCTCTGCTAACTCGCGCATAGGTGTTAACAGCTCCAGGCGCACCGAGATCCCCGGGAGACCCGATGGTCGCCCGCCCACCTCCGCTTCGCCTTGTTCCCAAGCGCGCCTGCCTGCCTCGGCCGCCACACCCAGCGCTCCCTTTCCACGCTGCCCTCTTAAAACCTTCCTGCGTCTCCTTCGCCGCACTCGCTTCTTGCCGGACACGCGGGTGCCGTGTCCTCCGCTGCGGGCCCGAGCGGCCGCCGGTCTCTGGACGGGACCGGGATCAACCTGGCGATCGGATCTAAACGATCGCTTTCTGGTCGCGGGGGCTGGGAGGAAAAGAATCCGGCGAGCGGCTCCTGCAGGTCCCTCGCCAGCCCGCGCTACCGCCCATTAAGCTCGCCGGAGGGGGACGGTGTCGCTTCGCCGAGGGTCGGAGGAGCGAGCGGGCGGAGCGTAGAAAGGAACCGCATTCGCTGCGCCCAGCCAGAGCGGGATCCCGTCCTCTCGCGGCTGCGGATCGCCTCCTTTCTCGGGTGGGGGTGGGGAGGCTTGGCGGCGTCTTGCCTCCCTCTCTTTCTCCCGCCGCGGCTCTCCGCCGCTTGGCTCTCAACCTGCAAGCCCGGCCCCCTGACCCAGCTCCCGCCCCCGTCTCCTCCTTCCCCGGAGGTAAAGGTAACAACTGCAGCCGCCGCACCTGCTGCTGCTGCTGCTCCTCCTCCTTCTCCTCCTGCCGTATTGAACCTCTGCGGCCACTCGGTTCCCCCTGCAGGAGGCGATAGGGACCGCCCCCGACACCGGATCGCTTGGCACGTCTCCAGCAGCGAGAGTTTCCAGCCAGGCCCACGAATCTTTGGGGCGAGTGCCAAAGAGAAGAAGACGGCTTGGCTTGACTTGTCTAGGCTAAGCAACGTCTGGTCAGAAAATAGGTCGGGCGCCGCAGCAAGTATGAACTCCTTGGGTTCATCCGAAGCACGCAAACCTGCAGAGTGGCTTGGGTTTTCCGGCTTTAGAATAACCTTGTGAAGCTGAGGCATTGTAAGTTGGAAGTCCTTGTTTGTCGCCCTAATGTGTTGGGTCAACCCACGCCACATGCTAAGCCATAAACCGTGGTTGGTATCCAGGGTTTAGGACAAGATGTAGAAAACTAGCCAATTGTGGAATAATAAATCTTGATGAAGCCCATCATCGCTCCATGTGATGCGTGCACTCAATCAATCAATCCAAGCCTATTCACATGTGTTGTAAGGTCATTCTCTCGAGGGATTTATCTTGACATCCACTAAGAGTGGAACAAACACGCCCCATTAACCATTTTCAATGCCACGGCTTCTCTTTGTCTCACCCTAAATCACAGCTGAGGCACCTTAAAAGTTGCCTTGTTTCAGTTTTAAACTAGCATTTCCCCTCTTCTCCAGAGACCCTTTTTGCTGTGAACCTAATCCAGGGGTAGGCAACCTTGGCTCTTTTATGACTCATGGACTTCAACTCCCAGAATTCCTGAGTCATAAAAGAGCCAAGATTGCCTACCCCGACCTAACCCTATCTAATAGGGTTGATGATGTGGCCAATGTGGGGGTCCCCTATTGGCCATACCAGGCTACTGCAGGCACAGCCTCTCCCCCTCCAAGCTAGATTTTGCCCTTCTTGGCTGTTTGAGCTACAGGCCAGACAAGTTACCTGGTTCTGTAGAAGCCTCTTTGCATAATGCTTTACCCCACCACCTTGCTGAGCACTTGCCAGACCTCATAGGAGGTCCTTGCACACATAGGTTTAAAGGTCTTTTGAGTGCTTGGCCCATGTTTAAAACAAAACAAAAAACACCAGCATTTTCTTTCGTTGCATTGATTCCACTAGGACAGGTAGGCAACCTTGGCTCTTTTATGACCCGTGGACTTCAACTCCCAGAATTCCTGAACCAGCATGGCTGGCTCAGGAATTCTGGGAGTTGAAGTCCATGAGTCATAAAAGAGCCAAGGTTGCCTACCCCTGCACTAGGATAAAAACTCCTAGGTTCTTCCAGCCGCATGTTGTTGGTTTTGCTGCCAGAATATATTTTCTATTTATTCTGCTGACAAGGGGCTTTTTAGGATTTTTTTTGGGAGGAGGGTGGTACTCTTTTATTCACTTCACATGCTACTTCCAATTACAGCCAGCCGCAGCTGCTCGGGGAGAATCCTTAACTTGTCCTGCTTTAAAACAATTAGGGTAATACCACTCTTTGGCTTCCTTACTGAAGTAGAAGCAAAATAGGGAAGTGAAGCAAAGGCACTGCAAAATATTCTGCTTTGCTGTCTAGATAGGTGAAAGGACTTTTAACATTGTATGTTCCTCCCCCTCCCGTTCAATGGAAGATTAAATAAGTAGAATCTTTTGATTTACAAGGATTTGCATATCAGCATGACACTAGGGTTTAATATAAGTGAATCCAGAGAGGGACTATGCAAGGTGGATGATATCTAATGAGGCTATTCATATTGCAAAGATAATATGTTCTCCCTTGATGAAGCTTGGAATGAGAGCCTTTACTTTTTCAGTGCTCTCTACGCTTAATGTCATGACCCTCCAGTTTACAAGTAGAAGCCATATTGCTTCATGAAGCTGCTTCAAAGGAGTATTTTGCATGAAATTCCATAGAAAGCACATCTTCAAAGAATTGTGCAGCCTTACTTAAAAACTCATTGATATTTTTTGGTGGGACTAACGCTTAGGAAAATGTACAGAAAGCTCTTAATATAGTGCAATTCTCTATGTACTTACTGAAAAGAATACATATTTAATTCTCATTATATTAAGCCAGAATGTTTAAACTATGATTTGTTGGATCAGTCACAATGCACATAGTACCTTAAATACTACAAGAGGCATATTGGCACTATCCAGCAGCACTACTAAACCAAACCAGACAACCTCATTTAAAATTGTGTGTGAAGCCAGCCCCTTGATAGTTTACCCATGCATTTACAAGGACAGGCAGTCATTGTTGCCTGTTTATGCAACTATTAGTTTTATTGGTGGATTTTATTGGAGAAATTGCATAGGGTGTCACAAAAATGAAAGGCTAAGTGTTCTGGGAATTGGAGCTGAAGAAAATAGCAAAGGAGAGAGTTGAGACAATCAGGAGATAGTAAACACTATCTTTTAAAGAGATGATAGATTAAGTTATTTTTTTTCAGAATCTAGCTATCTTGTATAGTTCATAGATATGGCACCAATTATTAAAAAAACTAATTCTTATTAAGACCATATGATTTCTTACAGTATTAGATGTTTATGCTGAATGTCTTAATTTAGACCTATCTCTTGTAACACTTTATACATATGTGTCCGGATAAGTAGTACCTACATGCTATTTATTTATTTTTTTTTTTGCACAAAATAATGGAGAGAGTTATGCCTATTCGAGCACAGGCATGGTTAAAAGAAACCAATTATCTAGATTTATTTTAGATTAGTTTTTGGTATGGAAATTACACAGAAGTAGTTTTAGTTGCCCTAAATGTGACTGATGAACTTCAGTGGCATGAACACAGGGGAATGCTACGGGGTTGGTTCTTCTGGATGTTTCAGCTGCCTTTAATCATCAGCTATTGATCATGAAATACTGCTGGAGAAGCTAAGTTGGATTGGGAATTGGAGGCATATATGACACTGGTCCTTTTTATACTCTCAGCACTTTATCAGCGTCACAAAGGGAGATTCCTGTTCATCTCCATGCTGCTTAAGTTGTAGAGTCTCAGCAAACTTTTAGACTCAGAAAGCGAAATATGCCTTGTCCCGGGCAACCTAGCTTTCTCTCTGGAAGGAACCGGGGTCTAGTTTCCTGGCTCCTCTTGATTCTAAGTAGCTTCAGTAGCTAAATAAGCCTATCTTCAACTGTGGTGGTGTGCTAGCTTTGGTGATCCATGATTTAAAAACTCCTCAATTGGATTACAGTAATCACGGTAATGGAGCTACCCTTGCAGAGTGTCTGGAAATTTCAACTGATACAGAATCCAACTACAGATTCTTAATTGGGACAGGCAAATCAGATCAACCGGCACAGACATGAAACCACTGAGTTGTAATCTGTCAGTTACCCATCCCAAATTAGGGTGTCAACATTAATCTGTAAAGTCCTAAATCACGTATGTAAAAGATCCCGGCCCAACACTAACCTGTATTTTAATGTCAGCTGCTAAGATGCTGCTTTTGTAAAGAGTCAATATGGTACAATGGTTCAGGTGATGGGTACCCTCAGCCATGGAAGCCCATTGGATGACTTGGTTTACTCACTTTCTCTCATCTTAATCTACCTCACAGAACCATTGTTGTGGGGGGGGGGGAAGGAAAGGAAGAAACACTATATAGGCCACCTTGAGCTCGTGAATGAAAGGCAGGATATACTTTAATAAATATATAAATATATGGTCCACCAATGAGCTCAGCTCACAACGCAGGAACCAAGATTTGGATCTTCTCGGTGGCAGCACTCCAGTTACGGAACTTTATCCCAAAGAAATTACAACTACTTTCTCTTGTTTTAAAAGACAAAGGTAAGAAAGCAAAGGCGTTTTAAATGGGAGCCAGTTAGGATTATAAATTATCCTGGACTAGATGGCAATTTTGGACAGCTTTTTAAACCAGATTCCTTAAATTTTATTACCTTTTATGATTGGTGAATTTCTTGTTTTTAATTGTTCTTGTGGACACCACTTCCTTTTTTGTAGGAGAAGGATTAATACAAAATATTCCCATCTAGAGAAGGAAAATAATAAGTGGACATTTGCTTATTTGCATCTGTTTATATAGGTATAAATTAATTCCCTTGTGCAATAACTCTTTGCCTAGAAATAAAATCCACTGGGCCCACTTGCAACTCTTAGGGCAATTCATTTCTAAGGAAATGAATGAGATTGTATTGTACGCTTACCGTTGTACCACAATCTAATTGATCCCTTACTCATTCAATTCATTGGAGGCTTCTCCAAAAGAGGTGGGCAGAAGATTTCTGCTAAATTTTGCTTTTGAAAGCCATATAAGTAGTTGTGCTGCTAATTCCTAAACCAGTTAAACCTGCCTTTTAAAGCTTATAACTGATTTCCTGATGGGTCACAGACCTGACTCGATGCCGTGTTAAGAATGGCTGCTCTTGACCACGTCTCTTCTGTTGAAATAGGCAGTCAGACCTTCTTTAAAAGATGTATTGCTCAATGCCTTATGTAAATTGAGGTGATTATTTTTATGAATACATCATCAAACAAACCACAGCTTAAGGCAACAGGTAAGGGTAATTTTGCTCTTAACAATTTATCTAGAGATCTGAATGGAGTGGTAAGAGAAGGTTGTGGATTATACAAATGAGTCACGTTCCTTTGTCTAAGGTTTATGCTAGCATAAGAGCAATGAAATGTACTTGAATTAGATATTTATCCATAACTTTTAATTCTGTAATAGTGGATGAGGCTGGCTTGGAGTTAGTAAACAGATTTCAGATTTATTAGTGGGTGGATGTAGTTTCTCCTTTCCACACCCTGCCATAGCAACAAAAAAAACAAACAAGATACT